CTCTGAGCATGTGTGAAAAAAAAAATATTGAAGGGTTGTATAATATAACTTTATCTCTGAGTTTCAGGCTGTTGTTGTTAGAATGTAAAATCAAACTGATCTGATTTATGCCCTAAAAAAACGCTGTTGAGTCCACATATGCCATGTATGTGAGTTGCTATCCATGGGAGAGTTGAAACTAGTATAAACTAATGCCATCTTGAAGTATGTTGGGTAGCCTGGTGGGGGCGCCACAATCAAAGATCCTTCATGTTTATCTTCTGGGAGAACAATTATTTCAAAGTTTAGTTAAATACTTCCTAATGGTTTGTTATGTGAAACTGATATCATTCTGAAAAAATAGCCTTTTCTCTAGACTTGAAGCGAGTATCTTGAAGGTTTATTTGAGGCTATCGCATAAGCTATTACAAAAGACATGTCATTACACTCTTCAGCGATTTTGACTTGACTTGCTACCAGAAGCTGGCAGCTTTAAAACAGCATCTGTTTTTACAAAGAGGCATTGCAAACCTTTTTATACAGTTACTCCTCAGCATACTGCTTTATGGTCTTTTTCAAGCTTTGTTCAATAAAATTGACCATGAGTCAGGGCCATCTTAGTTTCTCACCTTCATTATTAGACGCAGCATTTCCATAGACGGGTCTCAAGTTTCCCTTTCGCTCATCACTTAGGCATGCACATCTAAGGTTACTGCTTTGGTTAATTCATTGTGCTGATTGTATACTTCCCAATTTCTCTAATGACTAGGCTTGTGAACATGAAAGCTTTCAATCTAGATTTTTGTCGCACCTCATTATCGTATGAACCGTATAATTGAGGAGATACTTCCGTTTATACAACATGCATTCACAGGCTCTGAACCGGCAAAAAAAAGTACTGACCTTCGCTTTAACTTATCATTAAAGGTGTATCTTGAGAACCTGCAGAGTAAACAAGCCCTCAGGCCTTAACCCTCCTCCAAGAAAATAAAAGAAACCAACTATGTGTATCACAGTGAAGATTCCTGACAGCGTAGGCTTTCATCTGACATGTTACCCTGGAGCATAAAACTGGTGGTCTGCCTTCACTCATGATGATCCATCGTATGAACACAAGTTCTTTCATGAATGGGGGGGATTCTGGGTTTTATGTATTTGCACACAAATACATAAAACCTTTCTGACTTGATGTGATCAAGAATAATAAAGCGAGCCATAATTCTTGTTTCCTTTCTATGGCTCAGTGGTCACAAGGCTCAGACAGAGACACATACATGCTGCTCCCAGTAGAGCTAATGCTACCTGAGAATATTTGGCCACCAGCAGTATGGGTGGATGTAGAGTTGTTTGAACTCTACTCTTTTGAAAATACTCTTTTGAATAACACCTCGTGCCTGTGTGCCAGTGTGTTATAATAAAAAAATAAAATTCTGCTTACCAATTTTATACACAGATTGACATCTCAATATATGAATAAACCAATGAAGCTGTCTGCTGGAATCTATGTGTGTAGTCATCTATATTTTTCTGTTTATCTGGAACCACTGTGAGCAGCATCAGTCTAAGTTTGTGTCCTCCTGGGAGCCGCCAAGTTGTTCCCACACCAACCTAGAAATATGACCTCTTCTTCCCCTGGGTCTTCCCAGAGGCCTCCTCCCAGTGGGACATGTCTGACACACTTCCTTTTGAAAAACACGCCAATGTTTGTTCCTACGTCATCATCTTAAATCAGATCATCAAACGTAACTTTTTTTGTTTTTGTTGTTTCAGACATTTCAAGTTCTCTAGCTCACAAAAGGTGCCCTAATCTCCACAATTAGTCAATTTAGCCATCCATGATTTTTCCAAAACTGCTCTTTGTCACATTGTTTCACATTAGCATATATGTACCTGAACAGCCCCCTACTCAAATTATTGATGGAAGAATATCTTAGTGTTATATGGTAGTCTCCAGCTCATTTTACACAGGGCCTGAGAGATGCTACTGAAGCCTCAGTCCAAAGAGGCCTCACCTGAAATGCTCCACATGGAACGGGGGGAAGTAAAGAAGGGGTAAAATGGCAGAAGTATACCAGCATATTCTAAAACTGGACTAAAAAAACAGTAGCAACAAATCCTTGTCAGAGACCACACATCACCATTACTGAAACAGTATGGGATCATTTTGACAGATGATGTGAAAATTTGCAGCTAACATCCAGTAGAAGAGTTTGGGAATGCCCCTTCAGGATGTCTGGAAAACTAGCAATGAGTATTCAGGCTGAAGAAAAAAAACATCTTGCCAAGTATTGACTTTCCAGCTTATTACAATCATTAAAGCTCTAGCTCTAGCCTCAGAAACCTTTTTTATGTTTGCAAGTCTCGCAATGAATTGATGCATCTATTTTGAGTGCATACACTCTGAAAGGTTTTTACAGTATCCAATTATTGAATGTTCACTCTAATAAAAGATTGTGGTGCACAATAACATGAAACCTTGACTGTCAAGTTGCTTTCTTTGGGAATGTTTCAATCAAACATAGACTCTTGTAATCAGTATGGAAACTAAAGTCAACACTTGTTTTTTTCTCTAGCTTAATATAACAACTGTCTTTTTGTGTGCTGTTGGACATATTAATATTCATATGTTTTTGTGGATGTTCTGAAAACAACAGCTTTCTCTTGGAACGGAAAAGTGTCAATAGAATGATTCTGAGAAAAAGAAAAAGTGTTCATTATCATTAGAATGGCAGCACAGTAGTGCTGTTTTATGTCTTCATTTTCGTTGTTGTTGTTGTTGTTGTGGAGTACCAGGGTGATTTAAAGCCGCTGACAGCACCAGACGCTTACACTGCAATAGGCTCCTGCTGTCCCTAGTCCTCTGTCATTTGCATCGATGGCTATAGCTTGTCTTCTGGCCTGACAGGCTTCTCCACTTACTCCGCCTTCACTAACCACTGCTCTGCTCTTCCTCTTTATGACGCACAACAACCATTCCAATTTAGCTGCCTCTTACATTTGCCTCCCTGCCTCTCCTCTGTCACAGAAATACATATGTGCTAAATTGGGTACATTTGGTTTGTATATCTTTATATTACACATCCCGAACGGATGATAAACCTTTTAATAAAGAGAAACAAGTGCCCTTACACTGTGTGGATAAGGTTTACTGCTAACATATGAACTATGTAGGATTTTTGGGAAAAACATTTTTGTTTCTGAGTTTTTACCAATGAGAGGTGATGAGAAAGGAGAGGAGAGCAAAGGGCCACAATGACAGCCGGATTTAAAAATCCAGGGATGAACAGAAAAAACCAGAGCAGAGAAAATGAACATGCTTGACTTGTTTTAACATGGAGTTCATTGACCCTCAGCAGCAACATAAACGGCCAACAAATGTATCCATTTCTGTCAGCCTCTCTGACTGACACACAGAGGAGAGACAGAGGCCCCAAACAGTACCTGTGTGTAGAATAATCCTTCAGTGTGGTTAACACCTGTGTCTGCAGAGAGATCTAGCAGCTTTCAGTCGACCTTTGTTCCACAAACACTGTTGTGGTAATGTTACGCTCAGTCCACAATATGTTTACACCCCTATGTTTTTTTGTTTGTTCTCTTTTTCATTTTGTACATTGCGTAACAATATGATTGAAGTAATTCTATATTGACATTGTTTTGTATGCATATATCTATGAGATTATGCTAATAATTGCATATGTGTTTATTTGTGGCAAAATTGATGTACAATCTCAGTATATGTGTGTTTAGTAGATGGGGCCAGAATGCTTTTTGTTATTTTCTTTGCTCTGTGTACTGTTTATTATTGTCAAATGTCTCACGAGATTAATCATAAAAAAGGAGTAATTATGCTTCTCAAAATTCGTGATCATGTACGTTTTTGCAACATTTTAAAGGTATTCTATAATGTGTTAATAACTCAGATGTTTTGCATGTCTAATTCCGGTTGTAACACTGACAAGAAATCCTTTTTTGGAAAACATAATTAACAAAATAATATGTTTTCTCTGTTTCTGGTGTTAGAATTCACCCTATATTATTAAATGGGTATATTTCAGTTAGCTAATCTGTTTCCTTTTCTAAAACTGAAAACTTCAAAACTTGATCTAGCGTCTTGCTCCAAAATTGATGGTACGGGCAGCGCCTTCATTCGGCACTTTCCGGCACACTTCGTCGATATCGATATCAGGCTCGTCGGTCGCCGCCTCACCCAGACTGCTTTATGTCTGGCAGCAGAGATCATGCGCGGTCGCCATATTACCAAGCACCCCTCCCCTCCAGTCCCGTCACGGCACAGAGCCACAGCAGCCGTGCGGGAGGCTACATACTGAACAACGCTACCGCTGTGGAGGACCAGTGATACAGCAAAACCAAGAGCCAAACCAGGATTCAGTGGAATGGATTTAACCTTTGCGCTTCGCTGTTAAGATATCGGTTTTGCTTTCACGTCAGTGTTCTACGACTGAAGGGTCGCTTTGTTTAAAATTGAATTGCCTTGAGTACATATAGCAGTTAAAACGACTCACTACTGTCTGTGTGTAGCTAGCCGGTGATGGAGACTGGCAGCTAGTTAGCTGACGTTACTCCTGTCAGGCTAGTTAACATAACGCCGACTTACTGAGCAACTGCTCTGCGGTTCGTTCGTGTGTTTACTCGTACAAAACGTATTGTTACAAAAACCAACGGAATGTTAACTTATGCCTAACAGAGACACAGACGGATAGTTAACCGGCGAAGTTCAACTGGCATCAGCTGACGTTAGCTCGCTAGCTGCTGAGCAAGCGGCGGCCACTAGCTTCTGTTGCCTCGTTCACTGTCAAAGGAAAACAGAGGCGTGCATGGAAAGCTGTAAATATTAGCACGGCTTTGCGCGAGATTTGAGGAGAACCACTGTAGACTTTGTGTGATATTTATTTTTCAACCGGGTTGTTTGTTCAACGTAGCTTTGGCAAAACGGCGCCGTCAACGAACTGCAGTCTTATTGCATACTGTCAGAGAGCGACTACCGCCCGGATTCCCTCTAAATGCATCATCCGGACCCTGCAGGAGACTCTGGCAGTGTTAGAAAGATGGCGCATCCGGCCGTCTTTCACAGAAGGGGGAGCAACCCTAGCAGCGGGAGCGGCTCCACGCTGTCAACACCGGCGAACCCGGTGGTCAATAACAGCCACGTTTCAGCCGATGATTATCAGCCCTCCCTGTTGATTCAGCCTCCTGCTGGCTCTTCCTCCCCGGGTCCACACCATCCTCCTCCTCACACCCTGAATCTGCTTTCTCAGCCCCAGCCCTCGCAGCCAACTGGAGCTCAGATGAAAAAGAAGAGCGGCTTCCAGATTACAAGCGTGACTCCGGCACAAATATCCGTCAGTACGAACAACAGTATTGCAGAGGACACGGAAAGTTATGACGACTTGGATGAGTCCCACACGGAGGATCTGTCATCTTCGGAAATACTGGATGCTTCCCTGTCCCGAGCTAACGATGCAGTTGGAGCGGAGAGGAGCTCTTCAGAGGAGACGCTGAATAATTTCCATGAGGCAGAAACCCCTGGAGCTGTCTCCCCCAACCAGCCTTCACATCCTCACGCTCTGACCCAGGCGCATCACCACGGTGGGGGCATGGTGAATGGAACCGTACACCATCAACATCCTCATCATTCTCTTCATGCTCAGAGCTATCCCCTGCACTCTGGGCCTGGAAGCACCCCATCTATCCTCTCTTCCGGAGCTTTACCTAGTCTTACCCAGAAAATGCCTTCTACTGTGGGGGGCCCTCAAGAGAATGTTTCCCACGCTGCCCCTCCAAGTATTACTTCTCAGCCTGTGGGGATTGCGGCCCCAGGATCTGTCCCTGGAATGCACAGCTCTGCCACAGGCACTACAGTTAGCATAGTAAATCCCCAGACCAGCAGTGTTAGTAATGTGAATACGTTGAGCTCTGCCAATGTGCCTGTGAAAGGGGGAATAAGCACGAGTTCCAGCAGTAGCAGCGGCGGCTTTCCTCTTAATGTGATAAACAGCAGCGGGGGGAGCGGAGGTGGTGCTGTTCCGACCGGGGGCAACCATATGCCCACCGCAAACATCGGCATGATCCAGCAACACCAAAACATCAGCATGACTACGGCAACCACCACCACCGCTGTTGCTGCTGCTGCTGCTGCTGTCAGTGCCTCTGGAGGCATGGGTGTTCCCAGCGGGATCCAGGGAAGAGTGGGATCTACCGTGTTGCAGCCCGGGAATGCCCCTGTGAGCGCTGGGGCCTCGGCTCCCGTGTCGTTTGCTCCCGCTCCGGCCGTGGCTACCACCAGCTCGCGCTTCAGGGTGGTGAAGCTGGACTCCAGTTCCGAACCCTTTAAGAAGGGCAGGTGGACATGCACTGAATTCTATGACAAGGAGGCCCCGGCCCCGGCCCAGGCTCCCTGTACCTCTGCGTCCGACCAGGGGTCTGCTGGCGTACGCCAGTTTGTCTCCGAGAGCTTTGCTGGGACTTCAGAGAGAGAAAGCACAAGTGGTAGTTCTGTGAGTAGCACCAAGAGCCATTACATTGAAAACGCAGGCAGTGGAGAGGTGGGTGTGCCCCCGCATGGCCAGGATTACACCTCCCCTCCTCAGGGCTATCAAGGAATTCTCCCCAGTGGCTTAAACATGGGAGTATCTCAAACCCAACCTCACATGCACACCCAGGATGCCACCCATCCACACGTGAAGACAACTGTAGCCCCTTCAGCTCCAACAAACGTACATCAGCCTGCAGCCATGCCGGGCCACCAAACCACCATCGGTCTTCCTACACCTGCCTTGCACCTGCAGCAGCTCACATATGCTCAAGCGGTTGCTAATCAGCCCCCCGGCTCCTCACAGGGCCTTGTGGGAGTTCAGCAGCAGAAGTTGGGCTATTCCACCCTTCCACAGCAATTACCGGCTACCACGCCAGCAGCCCCAGTGTCGATGAGGCCAGCAGAGTACTCCCAGCCTCAGCAAGGCCTGCCGCCGGTTGCCTCTTCCCAACCTCTTTCCAGCCAGGCTTCATCGAATAGTGCTTGCCAGATGATGGGAGGTCCTCACCAATCACAGGGGCTGCTTCACACACAACCCTCCTCCCTTCAGGCCACCACCTCCACCATGCCCTCGCTTGTTGGTGTAGCAGGTCTCGGTCAACAGCCTCAGAGTCACCCAAGCCATCTTGATTGTCAGCAGCAAAAGCCACAGTCACTCCTGACTCAGATCCAAAACCCAGGCCTGAGCAGCCAGGCGTCTGCACAAAGCGTGCCTCCCCCCAACCCTCAGAGCGATTACCAGGCCCAGCCCCAACCCCACGCCGCTGGGAACAGCTGCCAGTTGCCCCCACAGGGTGTTCCTCAGAGCCAGTCTTCTTCTGTCAGCCTGACCCAGGATCACAACAGTGCCCAGGCCCTGTCTCATGCTGCCCAAGCCAGTGCCCTCTATGCTAGTTTGCCCAATTTCACCACGACACAGCTGCAGGATGCCCAGCGGCTGCTCCTCCAGCACCAGTCCGCTTTGCTGGGACTGCCCAAGCTGTCTGTAGGGGAGGCTGGATCTGGATCCAATTCAGGCCAGGGTCAAGACGCAGAGGGCAGCAGCACCGCCACCAGTGCCTTAACTGCACCTGCTGGTCTCAAGACTGTAGATGGAGAGGAGGATGGGTAAGAAACTTTTATTTTCTCACTTTGCTGTCAATTTTCTCGAAGCGTATTCAGTTTGTTGCAGTGCGTTTCATTGGTCTGTGGGAAGCAGAAAAGTAGCAATCAGATAGGTGTTCTGTTATTGTGGTGTCATGAAGTTTAAAACAGCGTTCTGACTCCATTTGTATTTGGCAAGTGTGATGTATTTTTGCAGCAGCTATGGGGTAGAAAAGAAGGGTCTTTGTTCTTCCAGATAACTGGCCGACAATGTTCGAGCCGGCCCAGTCTGTCTGCCCTCCGTCGGCGGGGCACAGCACAGGACACGGCAGGATATTAATGTCTCTTTCTTTATCTAATGGCTGCAGTGATTCAACAGTTTTCCTCAACCGCCTGCTTTTTTGAATCCCAGCTGTCTGCCTTACAGGGCACAATTTGTGCTGGGTGCACAGTTTGTCTTACACACTCTCAGCACATTGTTAAAAAGCAGGAAGCACAGAGGCTGTTGTGCGAGTGTGTGATTAGTGACAGAACAAAAGCTGCTATAACTTGTGTTATTCAGCACTTACAATGTATATCAAAAGAAGGTGAAAGAATCTCCTTCCAGCTTACCGATTTACTCAGAAGAAACGTTAAAGTGCACAGCTGAACCCCCCCACCCCCTCTAAAAGCTTTATTGATTTCATGTAGCGCTGTCTCTCCTGTGAACATATCACAAATCCTTTGGAATGTCCTGCCACTAAGTTTTAAGAACTGATTTTTGAGGTTAGACAGGAATTTTAATCACTTTTCAGCAGCAGGAAATTGCTCACAATTTGCTTCTAACAATCCTAAGCCTTTTTCTGAGAGCTTAAGTATTACCTTATCTGCTGTTTTAATGCTTTGCATAACTGATTTATAAAACGGAAAGAAACTGTCTTAGATAGGATGTATCTTGGAGGAAATTATGGTTGTTTTTTCAGTTTTTGTTCATGGGTCAGGTGGATGGCCAGTGATGGATGGTTTCTGTTATCACATGACGTTCAACTGAGGAATGTAGAATCTGTGTGAGGTCAGATGGATTATTGTCTTTGATCATCAGCATTTGTGCCAAACTGAAGCTCTTAAGACAAACGGGAACGGTGTCTCTTTATACATCGCTTCAAATTGAATTGCGTATAGTTTATCTGTTGTCAATGATGAGGTCCTGGTTATAACTCAGTCAAAAAAGGTTTTCATCTCACTGATTTCTGTTTCAACAGAAAGGAAACTGAGATAAGAGTACAGTCCTGTTGGCTAATCCAAGCACACTCGCAGGAAGGAAACATATAAGTCATACCATTTGATAACACTATCACGTAAAAATGAGCAATTGCATCAGTTTTTTTATTTTATTTAAACAGATATGACCTCGGTAGTGAAGTTGATTGAACTGTCAGGCCGCCTTTCTGTGCCAGCTTCGCCGTTACTTATTAATCACAATTCAGCTGCAGACTGTAACACAGGAAAATTCTTCCCTTGGGAATATGTTAGCGTGAAATCTAATAGTTTCTGATTCATGGCACCGTATTCTCCCTGAAAACACTGAACTCACATGTAATATAAACGGTAATAAAAGTGTATTATTTAAAGATATAAATAGCGTCGCACTTTGAAAAACATCCTCTCACATCACCTATTTTCAGCATCTCTACTGTCACCTTTTGAATGTTTATGGAAGCCACCATTAGATCATGACTGGGGGGAAAAAGGTGGGTTGACTTGAACACAGCTATGGGTTGTTTATTATAAAAGTATGTAATTTGATATCAAAGACTACAATATATTTATTAAACTAACAGTTTGAAAAGTGACCTTTTTGAAATCAGCCTAAAGACCTGGAAAGTTTTTCTGTGTCCTCAGTGCAGAGGTGCTACTCCCTGTCCACCTTGTTCTTTTTGTGGACGAAATGAATACAGAAGCTACATGGTAGATCGGAGCCATATTAGTGGTTGTGCTATGCCTGTGGTCCTCTGTGACCCTAATGTCAACATATTTTAAGGTTTTTGTGTGTGGGAAGGCTCTGCCCTCATAAACCGCCCCCCTTTAAGCCTAGTACACGCTGTACAATGCTCTGTCATCTTTAATGAGAAGTAGTCCATGTGAGATAACGGTGCAGATGAATTCAACTTTGGCTAAAATGGTAGTCCAGCATTTAGCAGTGGAGGTGGCTGAAATGCCACAGTTGTTACAGGTTTGTGCCCAAACGGAGATAATTTCAGAAATCTAAAATCATCTTGAAGTTTCTGATCAGCCTACCTTTTTATGTCAGCTGATGGGGATTACATGCTACGACTTTTTGTTAGCACAACTTGGAAGAATCTGTATTGCTCTTCAGTTCCCACCTGGTACGATTCAGCCAGTCTGCTCAAGTCCAACAAGATGCTGCTGCCAGGTTTATCAGATGCTTCTTCCACAGTGTGGATTACAGCTGTGCAGCTGCCTTACAGCACACAAATTTAACGGTGTCTGGTCTCTCATATGTTTACGCGTAGGATTCTTTGTATTAAGCGGATTGTCATTTGCTCCGTAAGTGCTGACAAGTCAATCGCAGGATGAATCGGTGTGTGCGGGTAGAGTTCTGCTGAGTGGCTGCAGGGTTTTATCGATCTGATCATCATAGGGCATTCAAAGTGAAGAGCTTAACATCTAATGCCATCAGCAATATTTACCTCACATAAGATCAGCTGGTCAAACATTTCCATGTTCTGTACATGTAGTTATTTGATATTTCATTTATGAAATAATAGAGATTCTTAGGTTATTAACATGAAGGAGTTGAACTGGCTCCTGGTTGATCAATACTAGAATATTTATGAGCTACTGGACAAACACTTTCTGTTGTAATCCATGACATGTTTATTCATGTTTACATGGCTGTTGTTTCCAAATCCCTAAGCACTCATTTTACATAAAAATTGTTCACATCATGCAGTCTCGTTACATTTTTGTTTTTGTTGGTAGCTTTCTGGTTTTTGTTTGGTATCTGCTGGCTACACTCTAGGCTCACAAATGTGGGTGTTTAGCTAAGATGAAGGGTCACTTTATGATATCGGTTCCCGAATTGGATGTAGCTCAGCTGTTTACATTCTGTGATCTTAATTCATATCTGATGGGTCGTAATGTTAGAAAGTAAAATCACTTTTCTACATTTTGTTTAACTAAAGACAAGTAAAAATATTTTTGTTAAACTATCCCACAGACATATATTCTCACTATTCTACAACTCAAGCTCCAGTCAGATACATCATTAACATGTTTCGGAGCAAATTAAAAACACTGAAAGAAGCAGCAGAGTGTCTCAGGACACTTATTGTAGAAGGGTTCCACCTCTTCAGTACACTGGTGTTGAATCGGTCGAGACTTATTTTGCGATTTTCAAAGCTGCAAAGATGTTCAGCTGCAGGGATATGATATTATAGCAGAACTGTTCCAATGTCTCATTGTTACGGCTGGAGACGTAGACAAGCTGAGTGTTACTGCTCTTTTCTTCAGTGTCAAGTTTGAGGAATGCAGACACTGGCATCAGTTCATATGACCTAAGTGTATCCAAGCTGTCAGTGCAGATGTGCTCTCCTAAAAGTTATCCACAGACAAAGTGCATCTGCTTAGCTCGAGTTCAGTGCCGTGCTCAGTCCGTATGGTAGGCCTCAGTGCTCTTGTCTGCTGCTGTTAAATGTAATATTGACAATTGGAGAGAAAATTACCAAACAGCATAAGCTGTTGTACGCGTCATAAAACTATTGAATACTCTCCCATCATTTCCCGTTTTAGTTTTCTATAGAAAAGTAGTTTGTCTGTATGTAGGCTGTTTGTTCCCAGTACTTTGGATTGTATGCTGGCTCTAGATATCAACAACACACAGCAGCACAGTAACAAGTATTAAGAGCAGAAACGATCAATCTAATAGAGAACCACAAATAAACATGCATAACAGTCTATGATTGAAAGAAGACGGGCTCTTCAGTATCATTAGTTCATTTTTTCCCCTTCATTTTTGTCAAATGTGGTTCTATTGTTGGAGCTAACGCATTCAAAAAGTGCCCGTGTGTGTGTGCTGCAGTGTGTGAAAGCTCAGGGGAATGTGGGATGGCTGTGTGTGTGATGGCAATCTGTGCTGCGGGCTGTTTTGTAGTCTTCCCCCTGGCAGTGCAGGGAGCCGGTGTGACCGGGTCTGGGTCTTTCATTGTGTGGAGATCAACGAGATCCCCGAAATTCCCAGCACACAGCGGATGTGACCCAAGCTGACCCAACCCAACTCAGCCAGGTCCACTGACTCTGGCTGAGCCCACTGAGGACCCAGCAGCAGATGGAAACAGGCTGCGCAGCGCCGCGGAATCTTCCAGTTGTGATAAATCATCGCATTGAGTTCTGTTTTTTTAATTTTTTAAAATTGTATTCATTGTCTGCGCAGCAGGTGGTTTTTGTATGAGTATCGACTTGGAAACATCCAGCTTCTGACAGACCTGCTGTCCAGATGCTCCAGCCTGTAGATCGGAGATGAAAGGGATACTCTAAACATTTGGTCCAGTCTTGATTCGTGTCTTTATAGCCGCATGTTCGGTCGACACTCAGCTCTTAACTCACGATCCATTGACTTCTCATTTGTTGCCAACAACCTTTTAATGGAAGATGAAAGAGTGTAACACGAAGTTTATTGTTTAGTTTTAAATGGAGCAAGAAGTTTAGGTCCCTGTTTAAGCCCTAGAGTTGTGAAGATTTGATATACACTCTGGACAGTTATGTGTGTGTTCGATCTTTTTATTCCGTCCCAAAGCGCCACCATCTTCACATTCAGCCGTGGCTGTTTATGTAGCTCTCGGGTTTGCTCATAACCAAAAGGCTTCAGTAAAAGTAAACAGCAATTGTTGTTTGGTATGATGCTGTGCTGCTGACACCTCCCCCATTTTTTGCCACACAGACCGAGCCAGAGAGCACCAGAACACAGCAGAGCAGCAACACGCTGTGTTGGGGAGGGAGGTGGAGGGGAGGGAGTGGGAGGGAGGGAGG